CAATCAACAAGGTTCAGTAAACCACAACCTAAAGGAATGTGTACTACATAAAAACTGCATACTTGCCAATATTAATGAAAATATATAAACGCATATGCCAATATTAAAGAAGTAAAAAAAGTAAAAATTCTATATTAAAGGCGTAAATAATACAGTAAACAAAAAAAAAACTTATCAACTTAAAATAGAGGCTGCAGCGATGATTTGTTGAAAGTTGAAGATGAGGAATTGGAGACAAAAAGCAATGGTCTAGTAGAAATGTGTTTAAGGGTTTAGTTTGTTTGGTAGAAAAATGCAGCTTTTAATCGTTCTGTGTACCAGGCCTCTATAACTTCCTATGTTCAAGGCAAAGAAATGAATATAAAATTAATTAATAAAGGCATTTCCATAGAACAACGCCTTCAATAATCACTTTAAAATTTTATTGGAGATTATAAAAGGCGTTTCTTACAAAAAAGATGCCTTTAATTATAAACCTTTAAAATTGTACATCCAACTTATTAAAGGCATTTTTTTTATAGAAAAATGCCTTGTCTAAATCTTAAAAATTATAAAAGGTGTTTTGCAGTAAAAAATTGCCTTCAATAAGTATGGATTTCCAAAGTTTATAACAAATTATTGAAGGCAGCTTATAATAAAAGACGCTTTTAATAATCAAAAAAATTTTTTAAAAAAAATTATTGAAGGCGTTGGTATCTGAATCGCCTTCAGTAATTATATACAAACTGTGATAAGAATTATTAAAAACATCTATCTTAAATATACGCCTTCAATAATAGTGTTACAATTTGTGTTGTGGTATATAGAAGGTATTTTACAGTAGAATATGTCGTTACTAATTCCCAAAATATTTAGTGAGAAAATTTTAAAGGCATCTGTTATTAAGAAACGCATTCAGTAATTGAAGGTGCCTTTTCTAATAAATGCCTTCCATTAACTATTAGCTATATCGAAGGCGTTTTATAATAAAAGACGCCTTTAATAAGCCTGAAAACTTTTATTAGGAAAATTATTGAAGGCATTGTTTTCTGAAACCACCTTCAGTCATTATATAAAAATTGTGAGAGGTATTATTAAAGGCATCTATCTTAAATATATGCCTTCAATAACAGTGTTACAATTTATGTGGTGGTATATGGAGGTATTTTACAGTAAAAGACGTCGTTACTAATTCTCAAAATATTTAGTGGGAAAATTTTAAAAACGTTTGTGATTAAGAAACACCTTCAGTAATTGAAGACGTCTTTTCTAATAAACGTCTTCCATTACTTACTAGCTATATCGAAGGCGTTTTACAATAAAAGACGCCTTTAATAAGCCTGAAAACTTTTATTAGGGAAATTATTAAAGGCGTTGTTTTCTGAAACCACATTCAGTGATTATATACAAACTATGAGAAGAATTATTAAAGGTGTCTATCTTAAATATACGCCTTCAATAACAGTTTTACAATATGTGTAATGGTATATAGAAGGTATTTTACAGTAAAAGACGCTTTTAATAATTCATAAAATATTTAGTCAAAAAATTTTGAAGGCGTCTATTTCTAGCAAACGTCTTTTATAATGGATTACTAAGTTTAAAGGTATATTGAAGGCACCTGTTCAAATAAACGCCTTCCATTACCATCGTGGTATATTGAAGGCGTGTTATAATAATGGACGCCTTCAATAATCAGTGAAAATTTTTTTAGTGAAATTATTAAAGGTATTGTTTTCTGTAACTGCCATCAATAATTAACTACAAACTGTGATATGAATTATTCAAAGTGTCTCTCTTGGATATACCCCTTCAATAACAGTGTTAGAATTTCTATGGTGATATGTTCAAGGCGTCTATAATATATTCAAAAAATATTTAGGAGGTAATTATTATTGACTTTTTTGTTAATAAATGCCTTCTATAATCTTGTCTAATGAAATTCTTCCCAAACTTAGCGCATCTAATCAGCAATTTCAAACTTCATCTTCATTATTATATCTTTTAGACCAAGTACAATTTACTTTCTTTTTCCTTCCGCTTTTAGTATTCAAGCATTGTTTTTTAGAACCCTAATTTGACTATTCATAACTTATTGACTTTAGCTTTTACTTCATTCGACTATTCCTTCAGTTCTTGCAATTCGTGATTTTCTTTTTCATGAAAAATTTTTTTACAAAACCCACCTTATTTCACCTTATGTCAACCCCAATACTAAATACTCTTGGGTTCTGTCTACGTTAGCAACAGAGTTTTAACAATCATAATATCTGGTAGCTAATAAATTACTTCACACCAAGGAGTTATCATTTTGTGTAAGTACTGTTCTCGTTATTATCTTTTGTTTAAAACATAGTAAACTATGCAATTGTACATGTTCATTTTCATATTAATTATTTCTATACATTTGTTCTAATTATGTAGCAACTAATAAATAGATAAAAGTTGAATGCAAAAGTCTAGATTAAGTTAAGAGTAGAGAGATAAAGTGAAAAATTTTCTTAATTTTGCATTTGAGAATACAAGTGAAGATAATATGATATTATGCCCATGTGTAAAATGTGCTAATATCGAGTGGCAAATGAGTCAAGTTGTTTATGGGCATTTAATTTGTATTGGATTTTTATCGAGATATGTTAATTGGTATTTTCATGGAGACTTTGTACCATTAAGGTCTTCCACTACAGTTCCTTCAACATCAAAAGCTCCCTATCACCAACATGATCCCTTTATAACAGATGACATTGAAGGCATGCTGTGATATGCTTTTAACATTCATAACCAAAATTTTCATAATCTTTCTCATGAAAATGAAAGATTTAATCAGTTCAATATTGAAATTCATGAATTTGGTAAACATGGGATAGGTGTACGTGACCAACAACCTAAAGGAGAAACATCGAAGTTTTATAAGTTGCTTGAAGAGATGAATAAAAAACTTTTTAAGGGATCAAAGCATTCAAGGTTGTCTTTTTGTGTTCATCTTTTTCACTTGAAATGCTTATGTGGATGGACGGGAAACTCTCTAACTTTATTATTATAGTTTATGAAAGAAATATTTCCTTTTACAAAAATCTCTGAATCTTGTAAGAAATCAAAGAAGATGATCAAGGATTTAGGTCTCGGATATGAGAAAATTCATAGTTGTCCCAATGATTGCATGTTGTATCAGAGGGATAGAAAAAAAAATCTTGTCATTTGTGTGGTATTTCTCGTTGGGTAGATAAAAATCTCGATGAAAGGTTGAATGATGATGGTGATGAGGTACATGTCAAAAATAAGTCTGTTAAGGTTTTATGTTATTTTCTAGGGGTGTGCAGTCGGTTAATTTGGTTAATTCGGTCTGAAAAAATCAATAACCGAATTAACCGAATTTATTTTTCAGTAACCGAACTGACCAACAAAATTTTAACTAACCGATTTAACCGAACCGATCAAAAATCGGTTTGATTCGGTTAATTCGGTTAAATAACCGAATTTTTCATCATTTTTTCTCTTATTTTGAATAATTATTTAGCTACAAATTTAATATAATAAAACTCAAATTAACATACCATTCAAACTAAATCACTAAAGAATTCAATAATTTCTACAATATTTTACAAGAAAAAAGAAAAATAAATACTCATTTAAACTTATTTAATCAAAATAAATTAAATAATAAGTTTTAAAAAGTATTACTTTAACATATATCAAATAACCAATAAAGCCATCAATACATAATAATTGTCATTTCAACACATAAACAAGTTTTCAAGGATCAACAAGCCAACTTAAAAAAGCAAATCAAGTAATATGCATCTCATAACTTTGATGCAAAACATAAAAGACATTTTAAGTTGACAAATTAAGTTAACAACTCATACAAAACATAAAACAAGACAAGAACACTCCGAGTTGACAAATGGATATAAAAGTTCATAAAAAAACATAAACCAAGCTAATTAAAAGACATTCCAAGTTCTAACAGCATTCTTCATACATGAACCCCATAACTTTGGTGCACATCCTTCATTTTTTTCCTAAAATGTTAAAGAGATTAAAACCTTAATTAGTTGTCAATGAATACAATAAATATTTTTTAAATGTAAATATTCATAGAAATTAATAATGAAATTACCTCAAAAGGTCCATGCACCTTTGTTTTAATCAATTACTGGATCTAAGGCAATTTTTGATAAATCTAAAAATATATAAACAAAAAATAACAAAAGTAAGCTTTAAACAAATAAAAAATAAAAAATAATAATCCTTAAAAAATAAATGATAGTATAAATAAAATATTACCTAAATACATTTCGTCAAGCTGTATCAAATCATCTTCAGGTTGAAATGAATCAAGATTAGAAGATCTACGTAACCAATCTTGAGCACAAATAAGGGCTTGCACAATTTTAGGAGTTAAAGAGCTCCTATATGCATCAAGCACACGACCACCAGTGCTAAAAACATATTCGGAAGCAACTGTGGATATAGGAATTGCTAACACAACACGAGCTAGATGGGAAAGGATAGGAAACCTATGGCTGTTAAGTTTCCACCAAATTAAAACATCAAAATCATCACTATCATCATCATCAGGCTCCTCACTCAAATATTTAGACAATTCTTATTTATGTTCATCTTTGCCATGTTCAATCCCATACCTCTTGTACTTGGACTTAAAGCTTTCCTTTTTTTTTGTCGTTCCATTTTCACTTTCATCATCGGTGGGCTGTGACATTTGGCTTACTTGACTACTTTCACCAACTTGCTCAGACTGAGGTTCTAACATTCTTTTGTATTCATTAAATAAGTCTTCTATTGCTTGTTATACTTTTTTAATCATCAATGAAGCTTCATCAAAAGAACATTTTCATGAAGCAATATTCAACAAAAGGAAACTTTTTTGAAAGATCAAGAAGAGAAGCAATATAAACTAACATATTCATCTTCTCTATATTTCCTCAATACTTATCATATTTATCCTTCATTCTCTTTGCCATTGCATTCAACTCAACATCATGATTTAATTGCTATTCTCACAAAGTGGAATAAACATCACATATATCATCAAGAAAAGTATTAGATGTGACGTAAGAAGTACCTGAAACTTTCACGGTGAGATCATAAAATTGTTGCAAGAAAAGGCAAAACTTCCTAACAATTGCCCAATCATTTTGATCGGGTACCCCATCTCTCATCAAAAGCTCACTTCTATAATAAAGATCAACATCATCAAAGGCATCAAATGCCTTTTCAAACTTTTGAGCTGCATCCAACATCAAATAAGTAGAATTCAATCTAGTGCTAACATCCAAACACAATAAACTTTTACTTTGAATATGTTCATTCACAATACACTCTTTAAACTTAGCTAACCTGGAAGGTGATTGTCTCACATATCTTATTGCCCCTTTAACACGAGCAATTGTTTCATTCATTTCCTTCAATCCATCACAAACAATAAGATTAACAATATGTGCAATGCATCTCAAATGAAGATATTTGTCTCCCAAAATACTAGTTCCAGCATTGTTAAATTTTTTCCTCAAATATGCAATTGCAACATCATTAGAACTAGCATTATCAACTATAACAGTAAAAGTCTTATCAATCCCCCAATCACGCAAACATTTTTCAACCGCCTAACCAATAGCTTCACCTTTGTGACTAGAAATAGGACAAAAATTTAATATCTTTTTGTTTAGTTTCCAATCTTTGTCTATGAAGTGAGCCGTAAGACACATATAATTGACCCTTTGTAATGAGGTCCATGTATCAGTGGTAAGAGATACTCTTGTAAAAGATGATTTCATGAATTGCTTCAAATGAGTCTTTTCATCAATATAAAGCTGATAGCAATCCCTAGCAACTGTCCATCGTGACGGTACATGAAATCTAGGACATGCAACTGATATGCAATGCCTAAATCCTTCCGACTCCATAAATCTAAATGGTAACTCATTCAGAATGATCATTTTAGCTACAGCTTTTCTAACAGCATCTTGATTAAATTTCCAAGTGCCTAAAGATTCCACACCTCCTGACGGCAACACCAATTCTGTTTGAGTACCATCATCCCCACTAACACGAGGAACCTTTTTACAAGAATTCATGTGATTCTTTAAAGCGGTGGTTCCATTCTTTTTAGGATCAGCAAAAAATTCTCTGTCACAATAATTACACCTAGCTTTACGATTACATTCCTCATTAACAAATTTAGTAAAGTGGTCTCATACCTCTGACCATGGCTTAGATGCTCGTCTCATCACTTTGGAATTTGCAGTTGCGCTTTTTGTTACCTCATCATATGCATGAAGTTGAGAGGCCAATTGTGTTTGATTAGTTGTAGAATCCAAAATCATACCATTCACTTTATTTGACATCTTCAAAAAAAAAAAGCAAGTGATCAAATTATATCCAAACAATAAAAAATAAATAATTAAATTATATTAAAATAATAAATAAAAATAAAATTATATTCAAATAATGAAAAAATAATAAAGTAATATTCACACAATTATTGAACATATTGGATATTCAAATAATGAAATAGTTTGTTAATCAAACTATATATTAGTTGCTTATTTTATCAACAAACAATGTAAGTGTCTAGCATAGTTTAGGCTAATTTATTTTAACTTTTAATTTAAGTATCTAGCATAATTTAGATTAATTAGTTGCTAGATCTAGTAAGAAAGTTAAAACTTAAATGTGCTAGATCTCTGACAATAGATTTCTTTAAATTCTTTATTCCCAAATAGTTGTATTTTAAATTTATTTCTCTATGTATACATCCAGTATTTACACACTCTACTTTAAGGTGTAAATCACTTAAACTATTTCTGTCTTTCGCTTGTGAGTTGTGGGACCATTCTTGAATCGTCTTAGTCCACATCATTACCATGTTGCCATACCATCAGTCATCCCTAAATTACCAAAAGAAAGCAACAAAAACTGTATTTATTAAAGCTGCATCTCATTTCATAACCAAATGATCTCATCAATCCTTTGATTTCATTTCTTCTCATTCATTCCAAGTGTGTTCTTCACACTTTCCATAGCACCCTGAGCCATGCCCTTTATTTGCTCTCCAATCTGCAACAATATAAATTCCTATTTCATTAGTTTCCTAACCAAAGCTCAAAATAACGTAAACTTTATCAATTGTCTATTTAATGTACCCTAAAATGAGGTATTATTATTATTGAAAAGCAAAAGAATTGATGAAAGGGAATGACAGATAAAGAAAAAACCTGCTGAAGAAAACCAATAGTCTGCTGTAGGAAACCAACAGTCTGCTACAGGAAACCAGTAATTTGTTGCAGGAAACCAGCAATCTGCTACAGGAAACCAACAGTCTGTTGCAGGAAACCAGTAATCTGCTACAGAAAACCAATAGTCTGCTGTAGGAAACCAGTAATCTACTATAGAAAACCAACAGACGTAGGAAACCAACAGTCTGTTACAGGAAACCAGCAGTCTACTGCAGGAAACTAGTAGTCTGCTGCTGTCTTTGCTGAGCAAACTCTTGAGCTGATTGAGTAGCATTTGTTGCCTAGTCTCTAGCTGTATTTGCAGTATCCTTATAATTGCAGAGCTTGAATTCTGCTTAGGGAATAGACTTAACTAAATCAGCAGATAAAATTCATCAATCTGAGAAAGGTACGCTTCACCACACATTAATTGGTTTCCCCAGTCGGCCTCCATGCTAAAAAATAGCATTTTCTTTTACTTTTTCTTGAGTCCACTGTCCACATCGTCTTAGTCCGAATAGTTGTTGCTTTCTTTTGGTAATTTAGCAAAGCAAGTCGAAACTGGCAGAAACTGTTATTAAAAATCTTGCTTCCTTCATTTTTATAAGTTAAAGTGCTTTCCTCAACTAAAAGAAGTATTTTCACAGCTTGTTATAGATACTGTAAATCCAACGTGGGGCATGGAAGGTTTTGACTTTTGATTCTTTTATTCCAAAACCTAGTCAATCAACTGGAGGAGTAAACAAGCCACTGAAAGTCCTAGACCTATTCATTCCAGACTAGAGATAGTGTACATCTATCGAATCACTCTAAACAAGTAAACAACAAAAGCTACTGAAAAATACTAGCAAAAAAAACATTACCGTGAGCACACCTTAGGGCTGAGGTTTGGCTGTTTGTGTTATGTTTTAGCTTAAAACATATAGGAAAAATACAGCTCTAAACATCACGCTAAAAGAAAAAATAAAGGTTATTAAGATTTAAGAACTTACGATGGCGTCTTGGGTAGATTAATCTCTACAACTGTGGATTTTGTGTAGCAAATTAGAGGGAGCAAGAGATTATGAGGCAAGTAGCCAAGCAAGAGAGTAAGAGGGAGGCAAAGATGCAGGAGATTGAAGGAGAGCAAACTGCAAAGGGCAGAACACAGTAAGCTGTAATAGAGGAAGAGCAAAGAGCAGAAAAGGGAAACGGCTGGGTGGACTGGATGAGTTATAAAAAAGGTAAGTTAAATTTAGGTTTTTTTAAAGAGAATTTACATATTTACCTTTAGTTATTATAAGATCGATTAATTTGATTAATTCGATTATCAATTTTAAAAATTGATAACCGGTCGATTTAACTAATTTAATCGATCTTAAAATCGATTACAATCGAAAACCGATTAAATCGAATCGAAATGACCATATTTCATAATTTCGGTCAGTTAAATCGGTTAAAACCGATATATGCTCACCCCTATTATTTTCCATTAATACCAATACTGTAACGACTCTACATGTCTTCTAAACTTATAGATTCAATGAGGTGGTATTATGAGAAGTGGACAGATGATGGATCATTAAGGCATCCTGCAGATTTAATGGCATGAAAGTCATTTCATTCTAGGTTTTCAGAATTTGTATCTGATCCTCGAAATGTTATGTTTCGCCTAGAATCTGATGAATTCAACTTGTTCTAAATAATGAGTACTTCTTATAGTAATTGGCCAGTTATATTGATTGCTTACAATTCACCATCATAGATTGCTATGAAACAATAGTCATTGATATTGTCTATGATAATTCTTGGGAAAAAAAGTCAGGTAATGATATAGACATCTACTTATAACCTCTTATTAAAGAGTTAAAGTAATTATGGGAAGGACTTGAGACATATGATGCATCAAAAGCAAAGAACTTCAATATGCGTGCTACTTTATTATGGACTATCAATAATTTTTTTGCTTATATGAATTTATTTAGTTGGAGTACAAAAGTTTGTTATGCTTGTCCATGTTGTGCTGTATAGATATGTTCGATGTGGTTACGTAATGGTAGAAAATTCTATTATATGGGACATCATCGATGGTTAGATGATAATCATCGATTTAGATTCTAAAAATATCTCTTTGATGGAACTGAAGAGTTGAAGAGATTGCCTTTATCCATTAGTGGGTCTACTATCTTGTCAAAGTTAAAAAAATATCAATTTCACATATGAAAAAATGACTCCATCAAGAAAAAGAGTGAAGGACATATTTAAAGGTATCTGGCCTTGTATTACGTAAGTTGGTGATAGTCATATAGAAGTTGATGATCTTGATGTTCAAAATGATGAAGAGGACGATGAAGTAGATGACCCCAATATGTATGAGTTGTGGAAAAAAAGAAGTATATTTTTTGAGTTACCTTATTAGGAATATAATTTATTACGTCATAACCTTTATTTGATACACATAGAGAAGAATATTTGTAAAAATTTTGTCGAGATAATTCTCAATGTGAATAGAAGATCCAACGATGACTTAAAAAGTCAGCTTGACCTAGTTGATATGGGGATTTGCCTAGACCTCCATCTGATGTTGCTTCCTAATAGTAAATATCGATTATCTATTGCTTGTTTTGAGATTTCTAAAGCCAAAAAAGATGTGTTTTGCAAGGGTTTGAAAAATGTCAAAGTTTCAAATGGCTATGCGTCAAATATATCAAGATGTGTGAATATCAAAGAGCTAAAATTGTCATCATTGAAGTCACATGATTATCACATTTTGATGCAAGACTTACTTCCAATTGCTTTACGCTTATCAATGTCAAAGTAAGTGACTTCTACGGTAATTGAATTCAGTAACATATTTAAATCTTTATGTCAAAAATGTATGAATGTCAAAGAACTTGACTATGTTCAAGATCGAGCCGCGATTACTTTATGTCATTTAGAGAAGATCTTCCCTTCAAACTTCTTCACTATTATGATGCATTTGGTTATCCACCTTCCATATGAAGCAAAGGTTGGTGGACCGATTTATTATCGATGGATGTATCCTATTGAAAGGTATTATATGTTAATATATTGATTACATTTTTATCGATTCTCAAGCCAATCTACTTAAAATAACATATGAGTAATGTTTTATGCTATAAGTTTTTGGAGATGTTAAAGTCTTATTGTTGCAACAAACACTATCCAAAAGGTTCTATTGCTGAAGGATATTTAGCAGAAGAGTGTATGACATTTTGTTATCGTTATTTGGAAGATGTTTAAACAAGATTTAATAGACTTTCAAGAAATGTTGGAATACAGCATACAGACTCGGCCTACAATTATCTTTTTCAAAGTTTTAGACAACAAATAGGCAAAGCCAAATTGGTGGAGTTAGATGATAAATCTTGGGTATAAGCACATTAATATGTTCTTTTTCATCATGACTCAATTGAATCGTTTCGCACGTAAGTTGTTTAGCAAGCAAATTATACATTACAGTAGGCATAAATTATTGGATTTTTTTTTATGTTAATACTTTGTCATGATGCTTTATAGTGAGTATAGAAATAATTTGAGAGATCCTGCATATTATCGATGATCAAACCCTCGAAAGGTTGATAAGTTGTTCGCTAAAAACTTTCATGAATGGTTAGGAGCAATTGTAAGTAATGCCATACTTCCCATTATTTTTTTATCTATATAGAATGCTTACGGTAAAAATAACATTAATAACATATATATATTTATTCTACTTTTATAGGTTTGGAGTGGAAGGCTTGTTAGTGAAGAGATAAAGTGTCTTTCACTCGGTCTGAACTGGATTGTGAAACGATACAAAGGTTTCATTATCAATGGATTTAAATTTCACATAAAATCCCATTAGAGATTTAGAAGTACACAAAATTTAGGAGTTGTTATGATTTCATCAACTACTAGCTATGCTAGTGCTAGTGACACAAACCCTTTACAGGGAAATGTTGACTATTATGGCATGATTAATGACATAATTGATTTGGATTATTATGGCATGATTAATGACATAATTGATTTGGTGTGATTAGATAGATGTGAATAGTGCGAAAGGTCTTAAGAAAGATCAGTACGAATTTACACTTGTTAATTTTTCTTGCTTAATTCACACAGACAACACCTCATCGATGAACCTT